TTTGACATTGGGTGGAGCTGTCTTCCTCTTAAAGACAGTAACCAGAATGTCTTCCTGAAAACATAAATACATAAGGTTTCTGCCTTTGCACCTGCAAGTTTTCTACTACAAGCCCACTGAGCTATTTGGAAAAGTCAGAAGGATGCCTGTTTTTAGATTTGCCCCTTTGCGTTTAATGCACAGCAAAGTCCCGGGGCTGAGAAAGGAATCATGTGTCCTTTAGTGATTCCCCTTCCCTCAGGAGCTCTACAGGTATTGGCTGACTATTCACTAAGGTGACCTACAATTCACAAAAATCCTCCAGCTTGGGCTAGGTCACTCGGTGCTATTGATTTTCTGCCGTTTGAATTCCTCCCCTCCTTTCCTTTCTACCGCTGCCAGTGGCCCTAGTACAGAGCCTCTTTATCTCACATCAGTACCGTTTCAGCAGATGCCAAAATGCTCGCTCTGCAGTCTCCACCTTCCATCCAGACTCTTATCTCTGCTGCCTGAGCCTGTCACTGCCCTGCTCGCAAACCTTTAATAGCACCCTACCACCTGTGGATTGATGCTCAACTTTATTTAAGGCCTTGGCAATCTGAGCTCTACTGGCCAGTCCCTTCTGCTCCGAAGGTCAAGCTAAACTAGATAACACAGTATTTCCCAGACTCTCTGACCCCTTGGTTTCCTCTGGCCCTGGATGCCCTGACCTTTCCTTCTCATCCTTTGGGGCCAGCTCCCATGCTGCCTTCCTGGGGAAGGCTTTCTGCTCTCTGCTGGAGGAACAGCTTGCCCCCCCCTTCTCTCCTGCCCACCACAGTGCTTTGGACTTTCTCACGTCTGCTTCCACCCAGTATCAGAGTAAGCTGGCTGGCCTTGGGACGCTGGAGCCATGCTGCTGGATGGGAGCTTACTTAGCCCCGCCCCTTACTAGCTCTGGTACCACGGACAAGTCACACTACCTCCCAGGGCTGTGATTTCCTCCTCGGCAAAACAGGAGACCTGCACCTTCCTCATGGAGATGCCCAGAAGGTTCAATGAGTTGGTGTATTTGGAAACGTTTGAATGCAGAGAGTGCCATCGAAGGGGTAGATACTATTTTACTTTACTAAGTACCTGCCTGTCTTCTCAAATTGATTGTAAATGAACGCCTGGAAAATGGGAGTGGTCTTCATCTTGGTATCCCCAATGCCTGGCACACGGTAGGGACTTGCTCCATATTTGTTCAGTGAATGAGCTTATTATATTTTACCAGTGTTTCATCTGTGCATGAGTTAACTGGTGAGGGCAGGATTATTTTCAATGAGCTGGGATTCCCCAGAGTGGACCAGCAGCAGCTTCCAGCCCCATGTCTAGACAGGTTTATAAATGGTGTGTGTCTGGGTGACTTGGCCAGGGTGTTGGGTTCCTCTTGGTCTGCTTATCTCTAGAGCCTGCCCTCTTCTTCTCCAACGCCCCATGAATATGGGGTAGTTCTTGTTCTACTTCAGCCAGAGCTGCTCTATAATTTAATACCCTTGTTCTTGGGTTGGAAATGTGTCTGTCTTTTATTGTGAACATTTACTTTCTGTTTAGCATTCAGAACAGGAGAATATGCCAGGACTGTGACAGCTGAATGGCAGAGGGAGAAAAGGGAAGCTTCAGAGACGTAAGAGTGAGGAGGGCCCACAGTAGCAGGAAGCCTGGCTTTGCTTGGCCTCACCTACCCTGTGTCCTTGTCCAGTGATTCAATTTCTCATTGTCTCTGCCAAGAAATATCAAGTCAACAGTCTCCGAGGCTCATGACTTTGCTGGAGAAGTGGATCGCCTTGTTAGCTCCTCAACTAAAGATGCCAGTGGAGAGTTTTGGGAGCAGCAGAGAGTGATAAGGACAATTCTGAAAGCAGAGGCAGGGAAGATATGAGAGCATTCTAGAAGTAGGGTGAAAGAAGGAGGTTCAATTCAGTGGTTGATTTCAAGGGAATAAAGAGTGTCTATACAGACATCTGGAATTTTCTATAGACCTGTGCTTCAGCAGGGAAATTCAGGACAGCTCTTAGGAATGTGTGACTGCTACTGTGGATGGGTAGGATGGCAACTAAGGCAGTCTTGTCATAGGTCCTGTTCCCTTCTGCCAGAACAGCAGTGGTCCTTGGCTACCAAAGCTCACGGTGGGCCCGGAGTAGATGGGAGCAATGTTGAAAGGGAACAGGGTGACCTTCCACCCCAGAGTCCTGCCCCTACCCCTCTCGAACCTGCCCCATCCAACCCTTCAGTTCTGTAGGCTGTAGAGGACATCTGACTAGAGCAGAAGTGCTCACTTTTAATTCCCCTTTTGAAAGGAGTCAATCTTTCCTTTCCATCTTTTCCTCCCAGAACTGTTCATAGAAACTCACCACTATGACTTTATTTCTTTCTTCCATTTTAGATACACTTTCCATTGATTTCTCAATCCCAAATTGCCTTCCCACTCCCCATCTTTCTCCTTTCCCACATTGCTGGGGGCTCCCCACTCTCCTCTCTCTTGCAATTCCATATGTGTTGGCCTAGTAGGGAGGGACTGTGGCATCTGTCCAATCACAGTCAACACTGTGTCCAAACACAGTGACAGCCAGTGTGGGGGACTTTCCTAACTGGGATAGTCCTGGGGCTCTGACTGCTTCTGCTGGCAAACTGCTTGGAGACCTTCACCCAACCTAGAAGCTGGGTTTCTGTTTTGTTTGACCTTGAGTGAGTTGCACTGTTGCTCTCTAACATCATTTCATTGTTCAACATTATTCAACATTTAGCGTGTACTTGCAACATGCCAGTTACTGCTCTAGGCAGAGATGTAAACGCAGTCCAGTTACAACAAAGAGCTCACAGGCTGATGTGCCGTTGGCTGCTTTTGTAATAAACTGTAATATAGCATGGAAAGTAATATATTAACAGTATGAAAAAGACTTGGGTAGGTAGAGGGAAGATTAATCCATGGACCACATGTCCTTTCTAATGCTGACTCCATCTTGGGTGGTCACTTGGGAGGTTGCCATCGTGGAAATAAACATTGATGATGCCAGGCTATTCTGACTCTGTCTGAAGGGCAGCCCATTTCCTTTCTCCTTAGGGCAACATAACAAAACAAAACAAAACTTAACAGAGCTCCTTTCTGCTGAGATAACCAGGCAGATATTTCTAACCTGTATTGGCTTTCAATGGCCACATTTTGACCACCGTCACTACTTATTGAAAAGCAGACCCAGCTTTCAGTTTTATAAAACTCTCTGAGGATGATGGGGCTGCGTGGAAGTAGGATACAAAGAGACCTATTGTGAAGGGTAGGGGATGAGAGGGTGGTCCAAAGGCAGCAGACTGGAAGTTAGAACACTCCAGATTTAGCTCCAGTCTATTCACCAGTTAACCTGATGTCCCTGCGCCTCATTTGCAAAATAGGGACAGTGACAGTATCTGTCTGTTGGGATCATGGTGAGAATTGGATGAGAAAATGCATACAGAGCATGGAGAACGCAGGCCCAGGGGTGGTGGTGATGACAGCAGGTGAGGTGACTTTGGGACCGTTGCTTAGAAACTCTGGCCTCAGTTTCCTCATCTGTGGAATGATGGAGTCCCGCAGGAGCATTCGGGAATCTGCGCGGCCTCAGTTTTTTGAGTATCTTTCATGTTAGTGCTACACTGGGGGTTCAGAGAAGGGCAAGGCCTGGCCCTCACCCTCTGGAAGCTGGCCTCTGGGGAAGGGGACACACACACACACAACTCTAATGGAAGACAAGTTGCCAAAGAGCTGCTAGGTTCATGAGTGTGAGTGTTCAGGGCAAGTGGGCCCTGGAGAGCTTGATGGGGAGGCAGTGTTGGACCCGGGCTTTGAAGAGTGAGTAGAGAGAGATTGTCTTTCCCTGCTGAAAGACACATTATCTTCAGGATAATGGTTCAACCCTTAAGCTGAGTCTACCAGGCTCTTCGTGACCTGGCTCAGCCTCCTTCTGCTGCTTCTCCGTTTGCCCCCATCAGGGCCCCTCACACTGTGATAGTTTAAGGACCTAAAAAATACACCACACCTTCTCTTGCCTGGTGCCCATCTTTGCATATGCCAGTTCCTTTGGTCTGTAACCCTTGCCTCCCTCTGCTGGGGGAGGGGTGCAGCAGAGCCGTGGGATCCGACCCTGCGGTCTAGCCTAGCTTTGCCCCTGCCAGCTGGTGAGGCTTCTGCTGTGTTACTCAATCTCTGGGTGGGTGAGTGTCCTCATCTGCAAAATGGGGATACGGGAAAATAATAGTGCTTGCCTCAGAGGGTGGTTGCAAGGATTAAATGAGTTATATATGCAAAGTACTTGCCGGCTGGGACCACAGTAATCACTGAATAAATATGAGCAGTTGTGTAAACATTCTGCGCCTGGCTGGCTCCTGCCAGGTGTTAGCTCCTTCAGGTGTTAGCTTCGTCACCACCTCCCTGCACGGGACAGCTCCCAGGAGCCTGTTGCATGCTCCTGTTGGTATCTCCTCTTCTACCAAAGTACCAACACCTGTCGCCCCTAGGTATCCCGACCAGATTGCAAACATCATGAGGACAGACAGCGCCAGTAGATTGATTTGGTGCTGGAAGAGACACAGTAAATAATGAATGACATCTCTGAGGGTTCCAGAGATGCGGCTCCTGGGGGGTTGGCGGTGGGCCACTGAGTACCGTGAGGATGAACAGGCAGGGGACCTTGACACCGCAAGCAAGAGACAGAGCCTGGGCGTCCAGAGTATCTAGGGCTCCCGCTTGCCCCGGGAGGGACCCCGGGCGGGCACTGCGCCACGGGCAGAAGACAGCGCTCCACTCGGGCCGGGTCTGCGCCGGGGGGAAGAAAATGCAGCCGGACGGGTCTGGCGAGCGCGCTGGGGCCCCGCCCCCGGCCCCGCCCCGCCGCCGCCGGAGGTGCTACCAGCCCGCACCGCCCCCTCGGTCCCAGCCTGCACCGCCCCCGCGCCGGGCGGGCTCCGCGCGCTTATTCGGCCGGGGGCAGAGCCGCTGCGGGCCAGCCGCCGGCCGCTGCTGCGGGATGCTGCGCTCCACGTCCACCGTCACCTTGCTCTCGGGCGGCGGCGCCAGGGCACCCGGGGCGCCCAGCAGGAGGGTGAGTAACCAGGAGCGACTGCCGCCGCCGTCCCACTTCCCCAACCCGGCCAGGACCCTAGCGGGGTCAGGCGTTGGGGACGCGCGGGAGCCAGTTCCCTATTACCCCCGCTCCTCACCCCCAGCCTTGACCCGCACCCCCACGACTCTGGACTCAACTCTCCCATCCCGTCCCAGCTCCGGCTGTGATCCTCTGGACGGCCAGCCACCGGCTCGTGGGGCTTAAGGGACTTTCTGGATTCCCAGAAATTTCCTTTCCTTCCTGTCTCCTCTCTTAGGCCACGTTAATTGGTGGCACGAGTTTAAAAAGCAAGGGGGAAACATTCTTGCATTTCCTTACTTGAGGCTCAAAGGGAATGAATGTCTTTAACACCCAAACTTGCCTCCTTTCGGCGATTGAACAAAAGGTCACTTGTCCCCACTGGTGATAGAATAACACCGATTCTGGAGTGAGCTTAGCTAAGGTGTGGGCTTCACCTTACAACAGCGAGATCAGCAGCGGAGCCCAGTGGTACGGGAGTTGGGTTTCTGCAAACCGCTTTCTTCCTTCGTTCTGATTTGAATACCAGCACAGGGGCAGCCGAGATAGCCCAGGGAGCCCTGGGCCCCGTCTCCAGGAGGGTTGCACTTTAGAAGCGCTCTGTTTCTCCCACACCTTGGTTGCATTTTTTCTTACCTCTCCAGATGCTCTGTGAAATGATGCTAGGCTCATGCAGGTTGCACCTGTCTGGTTCTGTATCTCTTCCAAGATCAGGCCTCAAAGCGCCCTGCCAGGGGCTGGCCTTGTGGCTGCTTAGTTCATCCCTTTCTCATAGTACTCATGATATTTATCACTTGGTGCCTCTTTTCTGTGGTTGAGACTTCTCTTATATTCCCCAAGTTTTAGCTAAACAGATGCTTAAGTCCAAGTCAGGACCCCCTTTGGCACCCCCAACTTCTAGTCTTGCACACGTGCCTATATGCGTTTCCATACTTCAGACGAGGGACTAGCGGTTACCTTCTGTGCTTTGTTTATCTCTAGAAGAAGGTCATTGTGTTACTCTTGGGTGTGGACCAAGTGATGGATTCTGAGGGGTGTTGTCTGTGTGTGTGTCTGTGTGTGCAGACATGTAGGACTGACAGAACTCTGTTCCTCTGGTTATTAGCTTTGTAAAGCAACATCCCCATCAGGTCCAAGTGGGTTTCCAACCACAGTCCCAGCCTTACTCCAAGACAGGCATTGGCCTTTTTTCTATGGAAATCCTGCTCAGTTGGAACACAGTTGAGATTGAGAAAGAATGAAGTCATTAAAAAGCCAGCCCTGAGCCTGGACAGAGACATATGTGGGACCAGACTGCATGAAAGTGTCAAGGGCCCTTCCAGAAATGGGTGGCTAGATTGGGGGTGGGGGTGGGGGCGCACTGTAGATGGGACTAGCACACTAGATAACCTTTGTGAAGATTGTTTTTCTCAAATGTTTACTCTCAAGTATTTCTTTAGTTGTAAGTGGCACAGTGGACAGACTGTTGAGAAAGCTTTGCCTTTTGATTAAGACAACCAAAATACTTTGGGCTAGAGGGGTCAGGGACCTAAGTCAGACCATGTGGGGCTGTTATGAGCACACAAGTACTGGCACACTTGTTCAGGAAAGAAGATATCTAAAGGTTCTAGGATTCCCTTTAAGATTACCTCTGCTCGTGATCTACAAATACCACAGGTCCTGGCAATATGTGTGTGTGGGGGGGGCATGGTGGGAAGATGTGATCTGTTGATTGATTTTTTTTTTTTAAACATTTATAGATATCCTGGAGGATACAGGGCTAGGCATTGGGATCCACTCTACCCGTGGAGGCAGTCCTTATCACAGACTACCATCGTACAAAGTGATGGTTGTTATACTGGGGTACAGTGTTAACAGAGTTGGGTGAAGATAAAAGGAAGGGTTCTTCCCAAAGCAACTGAGGAAGACCTCTCTCTTCAGGAGCCATTTGAGTTTGGTCTTACAAGGTGAATAGGAGTTCGTGGGATGACTGGTATTGGGATACTGAAAGGAGGAAATGTTACTCATTTTAATGTAAGTCTTGGCATACATTGTATCATAATGGCATATTGAATTTGCAAACACTTATGTTTTTGGTGAAAGAAGAATGGGATATCTTGAAAATAAAATTGTAGACCAAGTAATCATGAAAATTGTTCCTGACGTCGAAAGTAGTTTGTCAGTAAACTCTGTGTCATCCTACCTTTCCTCTTGGATATTGGACAAGTGATGGTCTTGAACAAGAACATGCTAGCCACCATCATAGCAGTTCTGTTTTTATCCAAAGAGCTTACCAAATTAGGGACTGTGGGAGAGCCAGGCTGTGTTGGTCCAGATAGTCAAGCCAGCTAGAGATGGTGGTGACAGCTGACACTGAGCCGGGAGTTTTCTGAGTCAGCCAGCCAGGGTGGTGTAGCCGGACCAGACTATCACAGGTTATCCCCTGTCCCATCGCTGCCACAGACAACTTGTATTTCCTTCTTATCTGAAATCATCTCTCAAAGAAAAAAAAAAAAAACTGGTGGGAAAGTAATTTCTGTCAGCTGATAAGCAAAGAGGCATTTATGGAAGCCAACCAGCAAGGGTTGTGAAAAAAAAAAAATCTACCTTCAAACCAGTTGTGCACTAAAAATAGTTTTATCTCTGGCAACGGCAGGAAGATAGATTGGCTGGAGAATAACCACAGACAGCATGATGCCCTTCGAGAGTGCTGGGAAGACGTTTACAAAAACACTGATATCGCTTCTCGATTTTGAAGGGAGTTTTGCAAACGAACCTTAATCCCACTGAATGAGCCTTTGAAATGAAAGGTCCGCTGTGTGGCCAGGTTGTATGTGTTGAGCAGGGAAGGCACGTGTTGCTTCGTGCAGCCAAATGCTTTTGGTGAAGCTGTTCAGCTGGGGCGGTGAGAGACCGAGATCTGTCAAGGGTTTCCTCCAGCACCAGGCCATCTTGATAATGAGAGATTGTTGGCCGGTGTGATGGGTCGTGACCCCCCAGTGGTTCATAAAAAGAAAAACAAAACAGAAGCAAACCCAAGAAAGGCCACAAGATAGGACTGCCTTGCTGATCTTTCTGTTTGGCAAAGGTGTCTTCTGTCCAAACCCAGCTGGCCTGCTGGTTCTCCCTCCTTAGCTAACACACACTCTCCTAGGACACATTTCTATCTGATTGGCTCAGAATAAAGAATTTTCTTCAGCTGGCCAGTGAATGGGTCACACAGGTATTTACTTCCTTTTCACAGAAACATCTGTGTGTGTAACCTCTGTATCTGTGGGCTCCGAGGAAGGGACGTGGCACTCTGGGGCCTCAGTGTCTGGTGGAAGGAAGCTAGTGGCGGCACCCACCAGGAATGGGTGGGCAGGGGGTCCACTGCCCCCAGAAAACAGGCAGGCTCCTCAGCAGGGCCCCCTGGACCCAGCCCTTGACAGGCCAAGTTGCAAAGTTTTGGAACTGTGGCATCCTCAGGACTTAGCCAAAAAGCCTCTTTCACTTAAGTGTGACAGTTGTAGGTTCAGAAAAAAGTGTCCCAACCTCTGTGCTTTGGTTCACCCAACTTGTTTTGTCAGAGGAAGGATGAACAGACGTTGAGTCTTGGGGGGCTCTTAGGACACTTGATTTCCTCAAGATGGTGAACCCGTGGTGCTTCTGCAGAGGGTATGGAGTGGGATTCTGGACCCTTCCATGTCTTCAGTGTCCTGTGAGAGGGCTGCATACGTGGTCTGTGTCACAGATCACCTGTCCTGAGCATCCATACCTGAGCAAGAACCCCAGATGCCCGAGCTTCTGATCACTTGGAAAAGCCTTTCAGGTCAGCCATCTCAAAAATGGTCTAGTTGTGCTCAAGGAGTTGTGGATCCAGGACTAATGAACCAGAGATCATTTAAAAAGCTTCCATCTGAAATACTTTTGGCCATTACCTGTGTCATGGTCTTCGAGCTTCCGGTGGCCGGCTACCCCAGCAGAAACAGTTCTGATGTTCTCCAGCACACAGAAGAGGGACACAGGGCTATTTCCCTCTGTCTTGCTGTCGCTGAGTGATTATTTCCTAAATTTCAGTCCTATTGCTGACTCTTATTTGTACTTTAAGGCCAGAGTGCCCTTTCTAAAATGCAACTCCCAGTCAGCTGATGACCCCACTTCAGGAGCCCTCCTTGGTCCTACCAGCAACAAGTCCAAATTCCATACTCAAGCATCCAGGCCTTTCTGATCTGGCCTTTGCCTTCCGTGTCCCCCCTCCCACACGTTTCCCAGATAATCCACATTGCTTGCCATCCCCCAAGCTTCCCATGCTGTTCCTCGCCTCTTTCATGCTTCTTTGAGGAGGGGTCCCCTCCTCCAGGGAGCCTGTCTGAATTCGCCTTTTCCGTTTTTCCCTTGAGGCCTGTACACCCGGTTATTGTTTACATCATCTGTGATTTACTACTGAGGAGAGGGGTTAGGGACCCTCCCTCCCCAAGCCTGGTGTAATTGGTGCTTAAAAAGAGAAGGGAGTCACTGGGGTCCTACAGGGGCCATAACTCATGCTGAATCAGCAAACAAGAAACAAGGAAGAGAAACTTGGGATAAAGCCAGCCTGTCACCTCTGGCCCACCTGGGCAGGAAGCAGGTGACAGACAGTCGGGAGTGCTGGTCCAGCTGAAGAGTTTGACAGTTCTGGGAAGGTCTCCAAATAGTTGCTCCATCCTGTTGCACAAGTTGACGTCTCATTCCTTTGGTTAAGTCCGTGGTTCCCAACCCTGGTTATACATAGAATCACTGAGAAGCTTAAAATATCTGTGCCCAGGCCCCACCCCAGACAGTTTAAACAGGAACCTCTGAAAGTAGAGAGTAATACCCGGGTTTTTCAGGAAGCTCCCCAGGTGATTCTGATGTGCAGCCAAGAATTGGAACTACTTCTTGAATCATTGCTGTCTTCTTAGAGCTTTCTTGGAAATACAGACATTCCTGGGACAGTGCTCTGGAAGGTCGCATTGCCTTTG